ACATTCTCAAAAAGTACTCTAAACTGTATAAATTCAATTGAAATCGATCGACCAATCACGTGAAAGTCCTCCTATGACCTCAGAGTGGCTTGGCAATTTCTTTTTAGCAAACATAGTAGCGTTACCTTTAAAGCGTGTAAATTCTGGATCCATGGAGTTATTTCTTGAATATTTTGAGACAACGTCACCGGAAAAATACCGATTTCTCGATTATTACCAGTATTGTAAAAGCCGGGATGATTTCACAAGTAATTTTCGACAAGAAGCAAAAAGACTTCAAGTTGCCTTGGAACACCTGGTGAAAAATGAATCGGATTTAAGGAAACAAAAAGCTCAATATTTGCTTGATGTTTTTGAGGCAAGTATCTTTTTTCATTTCATTTTGATCACTGGCAAACAGTATGGAGGGCCCTGTTAAGTCCCGAGAAAGGGAACATACTTCCACGACTACGGTGAGCGCGTACGCTCCGCTCACTTTATGGCGTTCATTAGATCCCGTTGTGGTCTACAAGTTTTGTAGAGGTGGGGCCTCCAGCAGTCCTGAGAAGGGGTAACACTCACACAACTATGGCGGGTGCCTACGTACCACCTGACCTTACGGCGTTCATTAGATCCCGTTGTGGTCTGCTTTGCCAGTGGGTTGTCTGCTTTCCAGTGAGGATAAGATAGTAACAAATTGTGTATTATAAATCCTGTAGAACCATCGAAAAAAGAACGTGAATATTGATAAATTCTGGAATGAAGTTGAAGGTGAATCTCTGGATATAGAGCATGCAAAAGAAAAAAAACAATTACAGCTGGACCAGGTCAATAATTTTTACTTACTTTAATATTGTTAAATGATATGGCTAATGATTGTTCTGGATTGCAGTTGAAAATAGCTCGTGCTATGACAAAGGGAACTGAGGATGGCGTTGGAAATATTATGAAAAATGTCAATCCGGAGCTGGTATGGCGATTTACATGTAACATTGTTAAAATTGATCTACTAATTCAACAAACTTTATGGCTTATTCGTAGGTTGAGTCAGCTACTTATCTTAAAAGGAGACGAGATGTTGATTACAAAGAAGATCGAGATGGGTACACTACGCCTTGTCCAAACAGTCCAATGGTGAATAATCCGGAGGACGAACCGAAACCAAAGAGACGGGCTAAGACTGATGATAAGTCTTGCACTTCATCTGCCGGAACTAGTGATGATATGGTCGGTGACATAAATGATATCATTCTGTTTATGTATTTTTTTTCTTTTTCATTTTCGGCTCAGCCGATTGGTATTAATTTTACAAAGTACAAGAGTGTGGATGACGAGTCCGAAGAATCCGAAGAAAGTGATGAGGAAGACGAATTGAGGCTAGACGTGGAAGAAATTGGGTTCGAAGAATACATCGATCAAGGGGATAAACCTGTAAGTATTTTTTTATCAAAATAAACTGCAAGTATGATTTCAATAAATCAATAACCGTTTTATAGTTCGTTTTTAAAACAAAGAACATTTCTTCGTTATTTGAATCATATCTGTCAAAAGCGTTAGCTCATGCGCAAAATTCAGGCTTGCTAATAACGAAAAATTATCACGAAATATTGTAAGTAGGACTTTTAAGTGGATACCTTTTTAGTCTTTTTATTGATAAAGGGTGTTTACTTTTTTAAAAAATTTAGGAGTCTATCGCATATTCTGTTATTGCAGATGGATAACTATTCTGAAACGCAAGTGAAAACGTTCTCTAGGGAAACGCTCGAAGATCTTAGAGAGGATATTAAATCAAAGTTAATCGGAAAAGAAAAAGTAACAAGGGGTGTAAAATCAATCCTACGAGAATATATTGAGATTCGTATTTTTCTATTATTATCATTCTTTTGCAATGTTCCCTTTGCTGACTATCTTGCTTAGGTTGCTAATGATGGTGGATTACACGAACTTCGCGAAACCATTACTGAGTCTTTTTCGAAAACATTTAATTCAACAACAGAGGAAGAATTTTTTCGACGAATGAGGTTTCTCTTTGAACATCTGTAAGTTTTGATATCTCTTAGTCAAACAATTTTTTGAAATGACTGTTAATAAGATTTTTTTCTTACTACTTTCAGGTCTCATACTATTTCATTACATTCATTGAAAGAAATTATGAGCGAAGGGACACTTGTGGCAAATCTAATAAGTCCAGTGTTACGAATTTTTTTTCATGATTCATACATATATCCTACGATTTGGCCGAACACATCTAGCACCAGCGCAAAGATCCGAAAACTTGCCATCGGTGATCCTTCCCGGCTAAAAAACCCGATATGATCGGGAAAATTGTCAATAATGGTACTTATAGAAAATACAGCATAAAATATACAAATAAATCTGTTCTAATTACTTCTCTAACATAAACAGGAAATTTATTTTTGAAACGATGTTTGGGGAAGTGACGGGTGAGGGTAAGAATAATACAGAAAAAAAGAACCTAATCGATCTAATTAGGTTGGGAAAGATGCTTTGGATAATATTTTGCCTAAGACCGGTGTTAATCGGATTTTTGCTTGGCAAGTTATTGGTAAGCTTGACACTTGTTTTACTGATCTTATCCTACCTAATTAATGATTCTTCATGTAATAAATAGTGACAAAATGGACCGGTTATATGATGACTTTAATTAGTCCTGGAATTTATGTCATGATAGATACTGGTGGTAGTGTGGATCTTCCAAGATCTTTCGAAACATGCGATTTGTTTTTAAGTGGGCTGAACACGCTGTTTACATTTCAGGTATAACTTCTAATTACTAAAGAATATCAATACTAATGACTAATTCAAAACTGTTCCTCTAGCTAGCATATGAAAGAACAATAAAGGATATCCTTTCAATTATCAATAAGAGTGAAGAATTCGAAAATGATAATTTTAAAGGATGGCGTCGACCAACACTTGGGACACCAGCGTTCAAAAGAATTGTCAAATTCAAATAACTTATTGCAGTCAGGGATTTTATCAAATATGGAATTCTAAATAAAGCAATGATCTATAAATGATCGACATTCTAGAAATTCAAAGAAATTTGCAGATCACTCCAAAATTAAAAATGATCAGCAAGTGATATTTTGCTTTGTTTTGTTGATCATTATGGTTCACAAGATTGCTACTTTTCTAACCTTTTTACTTTTTCACCATGACTAAATTTCAACGCTTAAGATTTTTTGTCAACCGTATTCGACGTGAACAGGAAAAAAAACAAGAACAAGAAAAAGAGAAAGAGACCCTTCAATGTCAGGTTACTTTTTCTTTAATGTTGCTTATGGGAGTACTATGAGGAAGTACTTGCATTGTCAGAAGCTTTGGAACGACTGTCCTCTCTTCCAAGGGAGTTAAATAACTGGTATGATAAGTACACTTCTGCTCGCAAAAAGTATGAAGACTTCCTTAAGCTTCTGCAAGGGTATAAGGATCAAAATCGAGCTTTGGCTCGTCATTTAGAAGAGGTTTAAATGTCATGGCGCTCTTTGGATACTTTGTTGCGGCAGAGAAGTAAACAATTTCATTTTGCTTATTTGTCGCATTCTTCTCATTATATTTTTTACTAACTTATTTTGATATACGGGACAATGTACGCTTCGGCTAACCATAGTTTACTTAATGTTATTTTCACATTGATGTACGCACTTGCTAACTATGGTTTACTTGTCCTCTGAGTTTTATCTTTTCCATCTGTATTTTCTTTTCTTTTTCTTTTTTTACTATTATTATTATTATTATTGTAGTTTCTGTATTTGTATTTTCTCAAATAAAGCTCTTAGCTGATGCCATTTTACCCTCTTAAAATTGTTACTGTATTATATGTGCTAGATTGTTAATAACTTTTTATATAATTTCTGGATAAATTCACGTCAAAGTGTGTTGCGAAATTTGATCTGTGATTTATTAAATAAATTTCTAACTCATGATGTGATACAGTAAATTTTTCAGATCTTAAAACTAAATTCTGTACAAAGCATTAATGCCAACTGAAGACAGAGTCACAAGGATCATCCTATAGTTATACCACGACAATATCGCGACGATAATACATTTTTACTAATAAATTCACGCGTTAACACCGTGTCAATACCGTGACATAAGTAGGGTTGGTAAAATCTGTTCTGGTCCGGTTCTAGTCCTGGGACCCATAAGTTATTTTTTACAAACCTACAGACCGGATCCATATAATAAGTTCTAGAACTTAGATCTGACCAGGTTCAGTCCCAGGACTTGGTCCTAAGACTTAGGTCTGACCAGTCTTTTTTTTTATGATTAAACATTGCTAAGAGTTTTATCGTATTTTATTGTATTACATAGTTACACAATTCGATCACTGATCTACTGAATCATTAGAAGTTTATTGAATGATACATACATATATAAATCGCAAATATTTCACATTTTGTCGCGCTACACC